GATAGTTGCCATGTCCTCGAGTCACCCCACCTGAGCTGAGGTTACACGCACAGCGAAAAGGTGCCGAGCACAGCCTAACACATCACGAATTCTCCAGGGCGCAGCCTACGTCTCGTTCATCTTTCATTCAGCCATCTGCCATCTCAGTGCCCACTTGTGAGACGTGTCTGCTTCACGTGCCTCTCATTCTCCACCAGACTAGCAGGTGCTCGGGTCCGATACGGAGTAGGTGTGCCACACAGACCGATGCCTCTAATGAGAGGCACGGGCATGTCAGCCAAGTAGGTTGCTATTCTTCATTGGATGAATGAGTAAGTGTTTCAACATCACCCGTCTGGAAAAAAAGGGAGATGGTAAATGGCTTCACTCCTGGATGGCAACAGTTATGTTCCACAGGTGTATTTTAAACACTTGTTTTGTTTTAAGAACTTGTAGTGGATTCAGATACAAAAATGAACAGACATCCTCTGCCCTCGAGGGGCTGGCAAGGGCGCATGGATGCAGGTGGCTGTAACACGATGCAGAGAGTGATCAAGGCTTGATGGTATACGACATGCTGGAAAAGCTCAGAGATGGGAGGGGATCGTTTGGCCTGGGGGTTACGAGGGAATCCACCAGAAGATTCTCATATTTAATAGTAAAGGAGCCACAGGTCCTGCCTCAGTTTTGAGGTTTTGTGAGAGAGTCCACCGCTAGACTCCAGCAGGTGGCCGCTGCTCCTGCTGGATTTGTTTCCGTGCATCTAACATAACAGTCGTCCCACGGGGCTTGCTTGAATCTCAAATAGCATCAAAGATAGTGTTTATTTGGATAACATTATTGATCGATTAAGTCATTATGATGTTCTCTATTATGCCATGTACTTAGGTGTCATCTTAATTCCTTAATGTCATATTTTAAATAGCTTGAGTTTCTCTACCCATGGTGGTGTATATCTTATGCTAGAATATAAGTCATGCTCTAAGGTACCAGGGTTTCTTTGTAGAATTTCATTTTTGAACTTGGCTTTTAGAGAAAAGACTGCTGTTTTTTTGTGTTTGTGTTTGTGTTTTTGTGAGGGTTGAGTGGAAAACGAGGGCTAGGGACAAGAAAATACAAGGAGAATACTTAGGACAATACCCGGTGTATAGTAAGTGCTCAATAAATGCTAGCTGCTGCTGTCGTCATCACAACCGTCGTCATCTTCATCCTCACCGTCATCCTCACCATCATCATCATCGTCATCACCGTCATCCTCACCATCATCATCATCACCATCATCCTCACCATCATCCTCACCATCGTCATCATCACCATCCCCATCGCTAGTAGCTTCGGGGTCTTAGAGTGAGCTTGTGCTGTCTTGTATCTGTTAGTGCTATCCAATACAATGATTTATTATGATGTATTAGGTAGGGGATTTTCTGAGGTATACCCAAACCATCTTACAGAGTCTTGCGGTGTGGCCCTCCCAGCTCTCCAGGAACCATTAGAATATATTTGAGGGGAGGACAGTAGGGTGTTGATGTCATATCCTCTGTCCGCAGCTTCAGTGAGAAGGCTGACCAGCAACAGTGTGGTCTGGTCGGTCCTTTGGGTCTTGAGTTTCATGGTCGGAATAAGGGTCTGTTCAAAACGGGAAGGTCTTGTGCTGGGCTGTGACAAACGAGATGACTGGTAGAGACGACGTGTCCCTGTGTGGATTTTTCTCCATGGGGCCAACTTTGCTCGCATGCTTTTGGGAGCCGTGGGCAAAAGGAGCGAGAGAAGGGACAGGAAGAGGGGAGTGGCAATGCATGCTGCATGCGGCACCTGAATGCAGCCCGCTCCTCACCTGCCTGCCTCCAGGAAGCAGGAGTTCAGGTGGCCACAAGGTCTCCTTCAAATTCTCATCCAGTTTCTGGACGGAAAATGACTTACATCTCTTTGCACCCTCTGCTTTGCCTTTCATCAAAAATCCTGTGGTCGCGTCCTCATGTCAACAGACCTGCTTCATCTCATGCTCCTTTCCCATTTCTCTTGGTTCTCTGGCATAATAAAACAGCGGCGCCAAACCAAACCAGCCTGAGCTCTCCTTCACCGTGTCTCTGTTGTGTCACATTTCTTTGCCATGTGCCTTGCATGCCACTGCTTTGCTGCTTCACACCAGTGGTGGGTATGGCGTGGGCTGGAAGGGCCCCAGGTCTCTGTGGGAGGGGACCAAGGTCATGGTGGGAGGCTGTAGAAAAGGCATCCTGCTTAGAGTGTTCAGGGCCATTTGGGCTCATGGTTATTTGCCCAGAAGAAAGGACTTCCTCAGGTCAGGTAAGTGAAGCTGGATGGGGGTCACCTTCCTTACCTGTACTGTCTTTCACCCTAGAAAGGAGAAGGTGCTGAGAGAGGAGTGGGGTGGGGTAGAGGGCACAGAATTGGGTGGGTGGGGACATATGGAGTAGCTCGTCCTGTCGTCAGCTGTGTGATCATGGTCAAGCTGCATCATCTTCACGAGCCTCAGTTTTCTTATCTGTAAATTGTAAGTTATAATGAGTTTATCACAAATTCTGAGTAAGTGGGATTCAAATTCATGAACCGAGGGGGAGGATGTCCTCAGTCAATCAGTCGGAGGAGGAACACATCTCATAACAAAGTCTATTTCCTAGTTTTGGGGTGTCGGCCCACTCTCCAGGACCCCAAATCCTATCCAACCCCCCAGGCGATGGGACGGCAATATGGATCAGGGGGAAAAGCAAGGACTTTGGGGTGACACAGACCTGAGAGCAGATTCTCATTTAGTCACTATTATCTACTGCCACATCACAAATTAGCACAAACCACCATTTCTTAGCTCAGGGTTGGCCGGATGCTACTTGGCTGTGTCTCTACTCGGGGTCTTGCACTTGGGCATGGCCAGGCTGTCTGTGTTCTTATCTGGAGGCTGCTGGGAAAAATCTGCTTCCAAGCTCGTCCATATTTTTGGAAGGATTCGGTGTCTAGTTGTAGGACTGAGAGCCCCAGTTTTTTTACGAGCTGTTAGCTGAGGGCTGCTCTTAGCTTCTAGAAGCTGTCCGAATTCCTTGCCATCGAGACTCCCTCCACCTCGAAGCCAAAAGTGGAGACTTTTTCTCTCCCTGAATTCCTATCCTCCTTCAGACCACTTTGACTTCTTCTGTGTCTGGCCTCTAGACTCGGATTTGAAGGGTTCATACAAGCTCCTCTAAAATGGGGTGGTTTTGGATTTGCAAAGCACCTAGCACACAGTAGGTGCTTAATAAATGACAGGGCCGTACTCTTCCACCTAACAGTGGCCTCCCAAACCTTAATCAGGGCCCAGCCTTCCATCGTTATTCCTTGCAGACTGTGTCCTAAGTGGAGACATAGGTCCCCGTGGAAGCGAGGTGCTGGGAGCGTAGCTCAGAACTCCTTCAACGTACAGGGGTTAATACA